TTTAATTTCCATTTCCCTAAGAGCTACTGGTATTGAGCATCTTTTCATAGGTTTAATGGCTATTTGTATATCTTCTTATATCTTCTTTGGAAAAATGTCTACTCAGATCCTTTGCCCATTTTGTAACTGGGTTGTCTTTTATTATTGAGTTGTTAGAGTTCTTAATACATTCTGGATACTAGACCCTCCCTTATCAGATATATGATTTGTAAATATTTTCTCCAGTTCTGTGGGTTGTCACTTTGCTCCCTTGATGGTATCATTTGGAGTCCAAATTATCTATGTTTTTGCTGTTGTTGTTTTGTTTCATTTTTTGGTCACTTGTGCTTTTGGTGTCTTGTCTAAGAAATCATTTACTAACCCAAAGTCACAAATGTTTTCTTCTGGCAGTTTTTCCAGCTTAGCTCTTGGTGTTTAGGTCTATGATCCATTTGAGTTAATTTTTGTATAAAGTGTGAGGTAGGGATACAGTTTCATGTATTTTTTGGCCTATGGATATCCAGTGGTCCCAGTACTGTTTATGGAAAGACTGTTCTTTCCCCATTGAATGGTCTTGCTGCCCTTGATGAAAATCAGTTGATCATATACGTATGAGCTTATTTCTGGACTCCCTTCTATTAGATTAATCTATATCTATTCTATGCCAGTATTACACTGTCTTGATTACAGTAGCTTTGCAGTGTTTTGAAAATAGAAAATGTGAGGTCTCCAACTTTGTTCTTCTTTTTCAAGACCGCTTTAGCTCTTCTGGGTCTCTTGGGTTTCCATATGGGTGTTATATAGGTTTTAAAATATAGTTTTATATTTAAGGTTTTTTTGGTATTTTATAAGGACAGACCTCACTGACTCTTGATTTCTTAAGATTCTGAAATTGGGATATAATTGAAAAGAGATATTTTGTTAAGTATGTTTGATGTCACAGGGAGTAACCTGATTTCCTTATCCTATTTTGTAATAATCCATACCCTTTCCCCTACATGTTTGTTAAAGGTTACAAAATTGACCCTGTCTAGAATTATTTAACTTTACATAGAGGAGTAGTTAAATAAATTAGTTCATCATTAGTTTAGGCCCACTGAATGCTTTCCTTAACACTGACTTTTGCATCATTTTATGTAAGTAGTGCTGTTTAGTGGGACAAAACATGGGCTTTGCAAAGTCTGAAGAACCAAAGTTTGAGGGCTGACTTACTCATTTCTTTGCTTTGTAACCTTGGACCAGTGTTCAAATTTTCTGAGCTTTACTATCCTTGTCCGTGAAATAGTATCCCTATTTCTGTCAACCTACATTGTCTGTTGTGAGAATGAAATGAGATAATGTATGTAAAGAACCTGCTACTTAGTAGCTACTCTAAAAATTATTATTGTCATGCTTAATGGTTATCATTAATTTCTTAAAGTTTGAATGGCACTAATTTATTAAACATTTTGAGAATTGTTTTCCTGTTGTCTGAGCACTAGGAGATGAAGAAAGGTCATTCTAACAGAACAGAGGGTGAAAAATTGAACAAAATGTCTCCAGTTTGTGTGCCTATTAGCTTAAGAGACATTCTCTTCACTGATGTTCATTGGAATTTGAGAAAAGGTCGAGCAACTGATGTAGGAGATACTTTTTTTGCTTCACATAATTTGAAGAATATTGTCTTCCCCTCACACCCTTTCTATTCTTACTGATCTGAATTCAAATTCTACTTATTTTATATCCCACGAGACATTATTGTTATTTTGTATATGCATTATTTATTTAGATTTACCCACATATTTACATTTCCATTGTTTTTCAGTCCTTCTGTTCCTTGAATCATCTTGAATCATTTTCTTTTTTCCTTCAGAACTTCCTTTAGAATTTCTTTTAATGCAGGTGCATTGGCAATAAATTTTCTGTTTTTGCTTGTCTAAAAATATCTTTATTTCACCTTCACCTCTTGAAGGGTAATTTTGCTAGTTATAGAATGCTGTGTTGGCAATTACTTTTCATTCTTGAATTTCTGATTGATTAAAAAATAGATTCTGGCTCTCTGGTGAGATTATTAATCTTGACATATATTTTTCATACCTATCATTGTTATTTTGAAGCCTTTTCAGATAACAACTAGGGTATTCATGGATTTCTTTCTATTGTCTGTTTTTTTTCTCTTGGTCTTCTTTTTTTGGTATATCTGGTAGTTTGTCTTTGAAAGCTTGACATTGTGTATGAAAAGCCATATTTCCATTTCTGGAGATGCAGGGGGCTGGAATGGAGGAAACATCACTTATCATAATTGAACATTGAGTGAACACAAAACTTGTTTCAAATTTTGTAAGGATCTGTTTACCTTTAGTTTGCCTATGCTCCTGGAGTGTAATGCTCCAGGAGTCACAACAGAAAGGCTAGATAGTTTATCAGTGGTCTCCTTTTTGGTGGGTTTGAACTCTCATTTTCCTCCCTCCAGCACTGTGATGCTACTGAAAGCTCCATTGAACAAACACAGCTTTGAGCTCACTTCTCTATGGTTTCCTTTTCTTCCGGATCTTTGCCCCTCAAGTCTTGTCTGCATTGGTAGGCCCAAATTCCAGTGTTTGTCTACATATCTCCATGACACTGTCAAAAGCTCTGCTAGCTTCTCTGCCTCTTAGCAGCCTTCCCCTGCCAGCTTCTTGGGATTCTCAGTCTCTTGTCCAGCTTGACTTAAGTCTCAGCACAGGTCCTCAGGTAAAAGCAGTATAAAGAATGCTGTGCTCACCTCAGTGAACTTCCTGTCTTTCTGAATCTTAGATCATCAAATCTGGCTGCCTTAGATGCTCTCCAACGTCATCAAACAGGTATATTTTTTTAACATCACACTTTCCTAGTTGTTCTTGGAAAGTAGCATTGATTTGCTCTAAGCTACGTTGTCAGCCAGAAACAGTACTTCCTCAGTTTGTTTTCTTTGTATTAAAACTGTTTTCTGGATGATGAATCATGAAAAATTCTACTACCTGCCTCAGAGTTAAAGAGTGTGATTGGCAGCTTTTGTGGTTAAGGCTGCCTGGATAAATGGAAGTGCCAAGTTTCATTGGTTTTTCATTTGCATCACTTTCTTTGCCCTTTTACCTTCAGTTAGATGTCTCATCATTTCTTCCATTTCATAATTTTATTTTAGTGAAGGCAACATTTCAATGATGTTTTTGAGTGAATGAATATTTTAATATAGATAGTAAAAATTTTAATAAACCACTAATATTTAAATTTTATATTAAAAAGAGAGTATAATACTAGAATGCACAGTGAAACCTAAATTTTAAAAATCTGTATTAAAAAATAAAAAAAGCTGTATTTATAGGCATCAATATGAAAAATAATGAATGAAGAAAGGCTTGTTGTAGTATGTCTCTTACCTTTGTTTTCTCTTGACTAATAAACATTTAAATGTGTCTTTTGGATGATTGTGGGAAAAATAAAATAGTGTCTTAAAAGCTATCTCAATTATAGCTTATGAGTACAATCATAAATATAACTAGACATAGTACTATTAGAATTTATAAGTGAATTATTAACATAAAAGGGACCCGTCTATATACCATAACCAGAGAATCAGATGCTAAATCCAGAATTAGCAACAAAACCCTTAGATTCCTTTCTTGTTTATGTCCTCATTTGCTTATTATGATGAAGGACCTTTGGGGGCTAAGATATTAATAACATATGATGGGAAATCCTGCCTAATAGTCAAGGAAAGAGGGCCATTCTTTGACTTAACCTTTTCATTGTATGCACCTCACAGATCTTCAACTAGAGGGAGCTGAAGTGATCAAAGGGCCTCAGCTCCTGTGCTCTGGAATCTACTGCTGCTTTTGTTGTTAGGACACGCTTCCCAAGGGCTGCTCCCAGCCCGTGACTGAGAGGAGCAGGGCTACTAAAGCAGGCCTGTCCCTGGAAGTCGGAGAACTCTCTGAGGGCTAACTGACTTGCGCATCGCCCAGTGGTCTTTTTTTTTTTTTTTTTTAAACATTTTTTTTGGGTAGAAATTGTTTAAAATTGGGTTGTTGGTTTTTCTTTATAACAAAGTGAATCAGCTATACATATACATATATCCCCATATCTCCTCCCTCTTGCGTCTCCCTCCCTCCCACCCTCCCTATCCGACCGCTGTAGGTGGTCACAAAGCACCAAGCTGATCTCTCTGTGCCTTGTGGCTGCTTCCTACTAGCTAGCTATTTTACATTTGGTAGTAGTGGTCTTGCTGAACCTTCCTTAGTCTGTAGAGCAGTCCAGAAGGATTCCACCCAGTCTTCCTTCACTCTCTCCTTCACTCAGTGTCAGATTTGTATTGTGGTCTGTCAGCCTTCCCTGGATCCCTCCCTATTTTCTCTTGTAGGAATTTCCTGTACAGAATAGAATTTTTGCATGTTTAATCCTGTCTTGGCATCGTGTCTGCTTCTCCAGGGACCTAGACTAACACATTCTCTCACTGTTTCTATAAAAAAATACTATCATGTGAAATTACTAAGGAGAGTAAAGATGCTTACTATAATTTGAATGACAACAATATTCTAATACTGCTGGAGTCTTAAGTTTAGAACAGTTAGGTTCTAAACGTAATTGAGAGCTAGCCACTCAGAATTGTTTTCTCATACTAATTTTCTTTTCTTTTTTTTCTCATACTAGTTTATTGATTATCTGCTTATATGTAAACTTGCTTTCAGAAGGACTGAATTATCACAGTAGTCAGATCAGGAGCTCATGTTCTAAAAAAAATATCAATTTATCCAGGATGATTGGATGGCTGTGAAGTATTAAGCAGTTCATAAGTCATCTTTGAGATATCTAAGGGTGTTTAATAAGAAATTAGAAGGAAATATGTATGAGGGTATGTTGATAACTGGCATACTGTTGAAAAGCAGAATTATTCAATACAATAAGTAATAATAAATTTCTTCATTGCAAATATTTGGTAATTCTTTCTTTCAATTTGTATGATTTTTACAAGAGTGCTTATATTTTATATGTTAGTGTTAAAATTCTTCTATCCTTCTTTACAGAATCATAGTGAAAGATTCGTTTTCATTGCAGAGTGGTATGATCCAAATGCTTCACTATTTCGACGTTATGAGCTTTTATTTTACCCAGGGGATGGATCTGTTGAAATGGTAAATGAGCCTTTTTTTGCTTTAAAGTTGGCAAACGGAGTGAAGGTGGGATCCAGAGAGGAATAGGATTGCCTTTCTTATAGTTGCTTTTAAAAATACATTCTTTTCATTTTGGGAATTTTAAACATTTTGGTATTATAATTCCAATACAAGAAGATACCTTGTGTCTTTACTTTTAATAGAAATTATTTTTTTGGTTAGAAAACTGAAGTGGGATTATTTATGCTTTGGATTAAGTGATAGTCAGTAAGTGGCTATAGATAAAGATTATCATGCTCATAAATATGTCACCATTGCTGAATGCTGTTATTGCTACAAAAAGTCAAATTGAAGAAGACTGAGTTAAAAGAGTCGTGCTTGTTTCTTTGTGTCCCTTTGTTGAGGACTCCTTTTGCAGGTGGACCTATTTGGTATTGGGATTTTGTGTTGGCAAGAAAGCATAAATTTGGAATTTTTCTGGGATTTCATAGGCACTAATTTGCTGCAGTGATTTGGAAATAAATCTTTCTATCCAGGGTTTTTTAAAGTATTAAATTTGTAATTTTTATGTTATTACTAGAGTAGACTAGGAAATACATAAGTTATGAAAGAAATTATGATTTGTACTTATAGCAAAAATGAAACAGAATGTAACTTATGTTTAATAGAGCAAAATTAATAACTATTTCTAGTTTTATAATAAGGTTAACATTACCTACTGGTAATTATTTGTTTTATTGTATTGTTTTTGATTCCAGCATGATGTAAAGAATCATCGCACCTTTTTAAAGAGGACCAAATATGAAGACCTTCACTTGGAAGATTTATTTATAGGCAACAAAGTGAATGTCTTTTCTCGACAACTGGTGCTCCTTGACTATGGGGATCAATATACAGCTCGGCAACTGGGCAGTAGGAAAGAAAAGTAAGAAAGCAAGTGTATAATCTTTTTAAAATTCTTAGAACATTATGTGTGTCTTGATACCAAATTCTAACTTCTTGTTTCTATCTTTTGTTTTTACAGTATAGATATTTTTCAGTGATCCAATTCAGTATTATGACATTTTTAGAATTTTGTGGAGCAGATTCTGTGGTTTGCTCTTCACTCAGGGAACAAAGTGATGCTCATAGTCTTAGGCAATGATTATTTTCCAGAGGAAAAAATGCAAACCTTTTATACTCCCTCTTCATTCTTCTAACTGGGAACTGAAAATGTAAGTCTTAGTGTACAGCTAAAGATGGTTTATGGGGGGGAAGTAGTGATTGCCAGAAGCTCAAAGGAAACTCAGAGGAAAGTAAAGCTATTTCTAGTAGAAGAGTAGGGAAGGCTTTGTGAAGGTATTTGACAGGATCATGAGAGATGGACTGAATTTTTACCCAGTTGGATCAAGTCAGAGGAATGCTGGTCAGAGGAATGAGTATGAGTAAAAATACAACAGAATGTTATACACTAGGTAGAGCTCATTGTTCTTCATGACTGGCTTGGTGGTTAAACATTTTTTTTAATTTAAGTAGTAAAATAGACTGATTAGGATGGTAGCAATAGGTATGAAGAGGAAGGAAGGAAAGTGATTAACCGAAGTATGGTAATAGTAGTAATGATAGGCATTAATATCTGTTAGCTATTTTTATAAAAGGTATTGTGTTAAAATGATTTGTATGCATCATTTATTTAAGCCCTACAACAACCTAATACACAAGCTAATAATATTATTATTAGCTCCATTCTGCAGATGGAGAAGTTGAGGCTTAGTGATGTTAGGTAACTTGCTGAAGGTCACAGAGTAGAGGCAGGATTAAAGCCCAGCGTCTGTCTGAATCAAGAATAGGAGGATTTAATCACAGGAGAATGGATAGGACCTGCAAAATGATTGTCTTCTTTCTGTCTCAGTTCATTTTTATGTCTCCTGTGGCACCTAACACATCTCCTCATACATTACAAGCACCTTGTCTGTGTTAGATGAATGAATCGTTGAATAACAATTTAAAATTTATTATCTACTCTTTCCTTTTCTTCATTTCCTCCCTGTTTTCAAATGATGACCTTTGATCTAGTTGACAAAGGTGTTTTTGTCTAGATTGTTTGGAATATATATTGTCTATTTTTGAGTTTTATTCACAGACGTAATAGATATCTGATAAATATTGACTGATCAATTGAAGACAGGATATGTGAGTATTTTGAAAAGAAAAAAATATACAAAAACATTGTCTTGGGATCACAACTGCATCTCTAAAGGCCATGGTGGTGATGCCTCAAGCAGTGCATTATTCACAGGGGATGCCCCACATAACTTTGTTGAATGAATGAGCTTATGTTGGTGAAAATAGTCGTTGTGTTTGGAGGCAGAGCTCCCCGCTGGCTGCCTCCCTGCCTTCTTCCCTCCATCCACTGCACGTGGCTCTTCCTGTGAAGCGGAGAAGCTGCAGTATGGTGCCTTCTGTGTGTCTCTCTGGTCTTCTCTCTTCATTGTTTGTCGTAGCTACGTTTGTTATTCTGACTTTCCCTCAGTTTTGATTTAGAGGAGAGACAGAACAAGTTGCAGTTGTAGCTGAAAATTAGGCTAGCCAGAAAACATAATACTAAAATGACATTGTAATTTTCAACCTCTACATTTATGAATTTGCAGCTTTCTGAGTCCAGCACGAGCTAGTTTTGAAATGGAATGTTAATTCTTTGGTCATCTTTCTTGGCTCTGGTTTCTGTGGCTTATATTATACTGTGCTGACTTGGGGGGTTCTTTGGATTTGTGGAGTGATTGTTGCAGTAATGAAAAATAGGGCTCACTGGTGGAAGTTAAGGCTATATGTATAAAAAGCTCCCCAAACTATTTAATTCTATAGGAAAAAATATCTGTCAAACTATATTTTGAGGTTTGCCACCCAAATAATAGCTGGCTATCTACCTAATACCTGAGTCCCCCCCATAGTAATATTCTTTCTGTGACTTCTTTACAAGCCCTTTATAATTCTGGAGGTTCTTTGATGCTCAGTGTGGTATTAGTACACAGGTGGTGATGGATCAGTGAGGTGGTGAATGACTCATAAAAAAGGAAAACCAAAGATTCCCAGGACAACTCTGAACTAGGAAAAAAAAAAAAATAGAATGTTAGACAAACAGGAATCTCATTGTTATGAGATCTACTGATAAAAGTCTATGGGATTAAGGAAACACCAAGCACAGTTCCTTTATTTACAAGTAATAAATATTTATAGCTTAATTTTTGAGCACATGCTATATGGCAACCACTGTGGTAGGCATCTCAGTTCAAGACTACTTGAAGTTTTCATTTAAAGTAGCAAAAATAAGTGAATTAGGGAGACAGGGTTAATAGTATGACCCAATCAAAATAAAATAATAATAGCTGTAACAATTATAATAAATATATATATTAATTGATTTGTCTACAGTGAATGTTGTTGATTCCATTTTACGGAGCACAGCCATAGTCACACAACTACAAAGTAAAGGGAAACAAGTAAATCTTGTTGTGTTTGACTTTAAAACTCATTCTCTTTTTATTAAAACCTCTAATTAATATATTGGTAAATACTATTGAATGAACTGATTTAAAAATAGGAGGAACAGAAGAATGTGAAGACAGATTTTAAATATTTGGGCTTTATAAATATAATTAATTAAAATATGTGCAATATTGTATTTTTACTGACTTCAGTTGTTTCACCATCTTCTCTTCTGATTCTCTCCTAACTGCAAGTGGGTTAAATCCAACAACCATTTGGGTGATTTAAATAAACTTCTTCAGAATTCAAGAGTTTTAAAAATATATTGTTTCATTTAAATGACCAAAGAAGTAGGCATATGGAGAAAGAAATACGTGCATGTCTATCATGGTCCCATGGAAATAGCGTCTATGTAATAATTATAACTTAGCCTAGTTCTCAGTCTTATATAGTGTCAAGGATAATTTATGAACTAATTACATCCCTATTATATTTATCACACTCAACCATTTTCTTTCTGGAGTAAAGCCTGTACTGAGAGGGAGGAGTAAAGCTGATCTTCATGGTGCCCGTCTGCTAATTTTGAGGCACTTATCAAGATAATTCTATATAATTCAATTTAGCTAACAAACTAGCCTCAGCTTCCTAATTCCCATTAACTGTAGAAATCTGACATTCGATTTACATTTCTATTCTCTTTTTCAAAAATCTCTATATTGAGGTATAATAGACAAACAAAAAGCTATAAATATTTAATACATACAACTTGGTGAGTTTGGAGCTAAGTGTATACCCATGAAACCATTACCACAATCAAGGGTATAAATTTATCTATTACCTCCAAAATTTTCCTCCCACCCCCTTATTATTTTTTTATATTGAGTTTTCTTTTGTGGTAAGGGAACTTAATGAAAGATCTACTCTCTTAGCTAATTTTAATCTATTCTCCTTATAAAGCTCCTCAAATCAAATGGATAAATGTTATCAGTTGTCTATGAGTCATAGTATTTGACTTAAAAACATTTTTTTCTTTACAATTTTTTTTTCTTTTTTTTTTAGCGTATTCAATTTTAATTTTAGAAGGTAATAAATTGATGCTTTATGGTTTTACTATTCAGATGTAAAGACGTCATACAGTCTTTTTGTCATCTCTTGGGTTCAGTTAGTCTCCATTCTCCCTTCCGAATATTAACTGATGGAGCACTAACGTAGGCACCAGAGGCAAATCAAAGTAAAGTGCTGGTTTAGGCTGTCTAGTGTAAGCCAGCTCTGAGAACGGTTGAGCTTTATTCCTACTTCTCCACCCCAGCCCTGCCCTCCTTCCCAGTCTGGACCTTGGGGCGTGTCTGAGGGAGAGAGAAACCTTTAGAGCAAACCCTGAGAGCACACTTGCCCATCCAGCGTGGGAGACAGAGCACCAGAGAGAGGTAGGTTTCCATGCAGGTGCCGGCCTCTGCCTCCGCTGTGCTAACCGGATGGAAGCAGGAGAAGTACTGTAGACTGTGTCCTGCATGAGGGCTTGCAGGTCTGAGAGAGAAGAGGCAGGGCCGCATACAACCAGAAACCCTTAAATGTGGCCATATGTGGAGGAGCAAATGAAGGGGGTGGAGAGAGGAAGCGCTCTCCTGGGAATGGAGTAGAAGTCACTTTACCCACGAGGAGCAAAGATACACATGTTCTCATTGTTCCTGGAGTTTTATTTCTTTGAGCCAGTCGGCCTAACAATTTTAAGTAGACCAAGGCTACTTCTTAGGGGAGGAGACCAGACAATTACTGGCATTAGTTCAGTTCTGTTCTCACCTTTGGGAAACTACTCCCTCAATACCAATTACTGTTACTTTACATATCCTCCTAGGTGGTGGTGAGCAGTTGAGTTTTTGCTGCAAAAAGGCACTGAAATGCATTCAAGTAAGACTTTAGTTCAATTACCAAGGCCTTGCTAAAAATTAACGCACACCCCTCCCCACTCCCCAGCCAATCTTTATCTCATCTTTACTTACCTGTGGTCTCATCGTCCAAGATGGCTTACTCATGCAGGCAAAAAACTGAATGTCCAAAACAACAATGAAACTATAAGTTGGAAGAGAGAACATTGGAGCTAAAGTGTTCTAAAGTCTTTCTAAAGGGTCAAGATATTATACAATTTTAAGAATTTTAAGTTAAATAAGTATGAAAAAGTTTCACAGCTAACCACTAGAAAAATAGTATATAAACTCCAAAACAATAGAGTACAGTAGGCAGAATCATGGCTGCTCAAAGATGTCCATGTTCAAATCTCTGGAACCTATGAATGTGTTACTGTATGGTCAGGCCATTCAAGACCGCTGTTCTCTTGCTCTCTGTAGATCTCCTGATTGACTAGGCCCTGCTTCCCTCACATGACTGTCCAATTCTCTTAATTGTAAGGGTTGTTAATTAGCCCTTGTTACCTGATGAGCCCACCTGAAATCAATTCCCCCCTGAGTAAATGGTAGCCTCCCTCTGTCCTGAGCAGCCAAGACTGCTGCTACAGCCTGCCTGCAGTCTGCTGCACACCTTGGGGTGTTGCTCCAGGACCTTGCTTCAGACATGTAAGTTCCTCCGTCAATTAAACCATTGAGGTCTCTTCTGCTGCTCTCTGGGCTCTTCCTTCTGTCTCGAGGCTGGGCATCTATAAGGCTTACAGGCCTGCGGGTGCAGCCCAACGGTTACCTTACATGGCAAAGAGACTTTGCAGATTTAAGATTACAGGCCTTGAGATGGGGAAATTATTCTGCATCATTCCTGTGGGTGCGACCTAATCACAGGAGTCCATAAAACCAGAGAACCTTTCTGGCTGCAGAGAACCCGAGAGATGCCAGTGTGAGAAGCACCCAGTCTCCATTGCTAGATTTGAAGGTGGAAGGAGACCACAGCCAAGGAATGGGTGGCCTTAGCCATCTTTCTCAAGAATGGATTTGATTGATAATGTATTTTTGGTTGATATCTTTTTGTCATTGCTTTACTTTCAGCCTTGTTAAGTTATATTGTAGATATATCTCTTGTAAACAGCAAGCAGCTCTTTAAAAAAAAAATCAGTCTGGAGCTTCCCTGGTGGCACAGTGGTTGAGAGGCCGCCTGCCATTGCAGGGGACACGGGTTTGTGCCCCGGTCCGGGAAGATCCCACAGGCTGCGGAGCGGCTGGGCCCGTGAGCCATGGCCGCTGAGCCTGCGCGTCCGGAGCCTGTGCTCCGCAACGGCAGAGGCCGCAACAGTGAGAGGCCCGCGTACCGCAAAAAAAAAAAAAAAAAATCAGTCTGAAAGCCTCTAGATTTTCACTGGTAAGACCAGTACATGTACATTTACATATGTTGTATTAGTATTTTTGTACATATTTCGACTATTTTACTGCTTTCCTGCTTTTCTAATTTTTTCTTCTTTCCATTCTTTTGTTGGGGTGTTTTTCCTCTCCAGAGTTTGTTTTCTCTGTAGTCTTTTATTGAAGACATAACAAATTACCACAGTCAGCTGCTTAAACAATACAAATTTATTATATATCAGAAGTCCAACACAGATTTCATCAGGTTAAGATCAAGGTGTTGGTAGGGCAGGCTACATTTCTTTGTGGAGGCTTTAGGGGAGAATCCATCTCCCTGCCTGTTCCAGCTCTTGAGGCCTCAAGGAAAGAGAAGCCTGGCTGTCTCAACCAACCCACTAGCCAAATGCAGCAGTACGACCCATCCCAGGTGAAACCACTCCCCAGCCAACCTATATGATCTTGAGAAGTTGTTTGTAGTTTTAAGCCACTACATTTTGGGGTGGTTTGTTATGCAGCAGCAGATAACAGCGGCACTATTAATATATTTTCGTGGCCCTTTACTTTCTTTATGTGCTATCTTCACTTTTAAATAATACATATGGTTCCTAAAGCCGATCTTATTTTCCCTGCAAAATGCATTTTAACTATTATCTACTGAACAGTTAAGCAGTGAAGACATGACAGAGGAACTTGCTTAGAGTAATTAATCACAGTAATCAATGCTCTGTCTCCTGTAGGCACTTAAAGAGAAAATGAAACTGCATTTTTTTTTCATATTGCTTCTTGTTCACTGCCGATGTGTTTTATATTTTCTTTAAGAGCTTTGGTTCTTGAAGATGTTTCCAGAGTTTAGCATAAACAATCATGGGTTAGTTTGGCTTTATAATATTTTAAACAATGTGAGCTAAAAAAATGATGAGTTTTAACTGTATCTTTGAAACCATATAAAATGCTAGAAGTGACTCACTTGCTTCAAAATAAAAAGTCCGTTTATTACAAGCCCTATCAGACTAAAATGAACAACTTTTGTTATTTAAAAGTTTTAAAAGCCAGCCATAAGTTATATCCAGTTGTAAGTAAGGATATTTGTATCATTATATCCTTAGCTAGGTTTGTCTCATTGGTGAAAAAAGTCTACTTTGAAAAAGCCTACCAGTCTCCTTTTATGGATTCCTTGAGTTAATGCCAAAGTGTCAGAACAATTGAAAATAAAGGGAAAGTGACAGCAATTTTTTTTTTTTTTTTTTGCGGTACGTGGGCCTCTCACTGTTGCGGCCTCTCCCGTTGTGGAGCACAGGCTCCGGACGCACAGGCTCAGCGGCCATGGCTCACGGGCCCAGCCGCTCCGCGGCATGTGGGATCTTCCCGGACCAGGGCACGAACCCGTGTCCCCTGCATCGGCAGGCGGACTCTTAACCACTGTGCCACCAGGGAAGCCCAACAGCAATTTTTTATCTTATTTTGTGTGCCAGATAAACTGAATTACTCCAACTAATCTGATTTTACCTTGCGTTCGCAAATGTTAGTCTTGAGGATTTGTGATTATGTTCCCTTTTGCTAATATTAATAGCAACATTATTTGTGGTGTGGTGTGGAAGGAGCACAGACCCAAGAGTCCTGTGAGCTGGGTGTTCCGTCCTGAGGATGCCACAGACCAGCTGTGTGATCTTTGGAGAGTTACCTCTCTGGGCCTTGTTTCCTTGTTAGTAAAATGAGGAAATTCAGGTGATCTCCATCTCTAAAAATCCATTAATTCTGTGGCTTCAGAGGGGAGAACGCATAGCTCTGATGTATCCTCTAAGAGGAAAGTGTGATCTTAAAAGTTAGCAGGGTGTTCGCTAGCCATATACATCTTCAGGTAAGAAGATATTTAGTTCTTTTTATATCATTCATGCTATGAATAAAGTGTTAATAGAAGAATTTATATTATTTCCAAATCAGTGCTGAACTGAGTGTATGGCATACACATGTTAAAGTCTAAGAGACCAAAAGTCAAGCTGATATGTTTAATGCAACTCTTTAGAGAATTGTTGTGTTTTATAAAGCATATGCTAAGAAATAGAAATCTTAAACACCTGTGTTTTATAACGTGGACATATTTAAAATGAGTCTTAACTTTTTTTCCCTCTAAACTTTTATTATTTTTCTAGATTGGGTACCTAATTTTTATTTCCTTGTGAAAAAATAGTAAACTTCCGTTGTATTAAGTTTTTATGAGGCCATTAATACATTTGTATTTATAATTCACTTTGATGTTTGATCTAGGATTTTTAAGGAAATTACCACTGCTTGGGAATTATAAGTAAAAACTGCCAAACTATTTTTATCTTTAAATTTATTCTTTGTTTCTTTATAGAACATTAGCCCTGATTAAACCAGATGCAGTATCAAAAGCAGGAGAAATAATTGAAATAATAAGCAAAGCTGGATTTACTCTAACCAAACTCAAAATGATGACACTTTCAAGGTAAATTTTTTGAGCATTTTCAGTTATGTAATGTCTGGTTCCTTTTTTCAAAAAAAAAATCATCTATCTTTCATGTCTTTGTTTAAAAACTTCCACAGAATGACAAAGAATAGTATAGTATTCTTATTAGAATGAGGAAATGGAAGACAACAGGTAATCAGATGCATAAAGGATGATTGAACTCTAAGCAAATAGGAGTTGTCAGGTTATACTATTAACTATTTATTAGACATGAACTCTTCATTGTCTTTCATAACCCCATCTGCTTTTATAACACCAGTGTTTCATAGTTGTAATCTCTTCTTTTATACAATGTAACACATTGTATAAAAATTATAGAAGAAATGAATATTAGATTATTTCTATTTGACAAGGGAATGTTACTGTTGAGATTTTCAAAAGTCATGTGTTTGGCAATGTTTTATTTCCTTCCAATATATATAATTGGCAGATATACCTATTTACTGCTCTGAAAAGCAAGCCATTCTATCTGACCAGATACTTTCTAAGTTATTTAATGAAAGTAAGACTTAGTGTTGCGGGCTTCTCTGGTGGCGCAGTGGTTGAGAGTCTGCCTGGCAATGCAGGGGACACGGGTTCGTGACCCGGTCCAGGATAGATCCCACATGCCATGCAGCGGCTGGGCCTGTGAGCCATGGCTGCTGAGCCTGCGCGTCTGGAGCCTGTGCTCCGCAACGGGAGAGGCCACAACAGTGAGAGGCCCGCGTGCTGCCAAAAAAAAAAAAAAAAAAAGACTTAGTGTTAGGTAGAGACATTCATGTAGCTGTTAGGCAGGGCTTGACCCGGCAGTTTTCTTAGGTTACTTCACTGATTTGTGTGTGTTTGTTTGCTTAGGTGCCTTCTCACTGATGTTCCTGGCTCTTTATCCCATGGGGCGGTTGCTTTTTTGTCTCTGTGAGAACAGGGACAATGGAGAGCAGTAGATAGTGTAGCTTTGATAAGTCTGATCCCTAGAAACCTTAACAAAACATCCTCATTTTTACCCCAGTAATGACAATTTGAATTTTTCCCCTATATAAGATCTCCCAGTTTACATATATTCTAGAAAGGCAGGCGTCTTCTATTTCAGAGCACAGAGTCTAGAGCCAGGTTGCTTGTAACTGCACCGCTTAGTAGGCTGTGACTCTGAACAGCTTACCTCTGTGCTTCAGTTTCTTCATCTGCAAAATGGAGGTTGTAACATCACCTGTATCATAAAGTTGTCATGAGGGTTATGTGAGTTTAATAAAAGTAAAGTGCTTTGAAAAACCGTGACATAGTAGGTGTATATAGGTGTCAGCTATTAGTGGTAGTACTGTAGTACTAGTGATATCACTGTTATTTAGTAGAAACCGAGGTCATGATCCTTTATGAGCATAGTTATATTTGTCCCATTTCTGTCTGTATTGAGAATGCTTGCCCTCACAGCAGGCTATGGGACTGAATTCTGGAGAGATGACTTTGAATAGTTTCAGTGTGATTAAAACTTTTTTATGTCTCTATACTTCCAGTGTTTGATAATTTGGTGTCAAACTTTCCACAATAAAGTTGCCCAAGAAAACTTAACAGCTTTTTAAATTGTTTATAGCACCTCATACATCTCTATTAATATTACTGTCAAGTCTTGGATTTTACCCAACTTAAAAGCTAATAAGTTAGTCTGTTACTCTCTCAGGGATGCTAGCAGAAGACGTGAGACTTCTGCGTCAGAGACAGAGGGCTTGAGTATGGTCAGTAAGCAGCATGAACATCACGTTTCTGTTGGTTCCCTTTGCTTTCATGTCCCGTGGGAATAATATGGTATGGGCCCGGGTGGATGTCGTACACACAGTTGATTGCATCACCTCTGAGGAGCATGGAACTTAGGTTACCCACTGTTTCATTAGCGAGCAGTAAACAAGCCTTCTCTTTGTACTGAAGAGGCATGACCTCATCCCTCAAAGTTGCTCATTATAAACATAACTCCAAGAAATGGCTAGGATAAACAGTAGCTGGGGCCTTGCATTCTTGGCATACCCAATAAGACACGTTAGGAGTGTCAGAGACCCATGGAGGAGTATCTCCCAATGCTTAAATCTTTTCTAAACTTATTTGCTCAAATGTCAGTTCCTCCCTCATGACAGTATCTGAAAGGCAGAAGCTGAGTTCCATCTAACTTTGTACTTCTAGTTCTAGGATCAGTGCCTGATTCAAAGTAGGCACTAAGTAAGTATTTCGTAAAAGAATTAATAGATCTTTGTGACAATGGTGAGTTTCTTTATAAAAACACAACAAAACAAAACATAACAAAATAACAGCAAAAAGACTTCTCTAGGTGGTGATGCACTTGTTAATCCTTCTCTCCATCTAAACTTTTTAAGGGAGGAATTAAAAAAGAATGATGAGAAAAAAACTCATGAACTCTCATCTTGGTTTCAGTTATAGATTTTCAGTGGAAATAACTATGGGGTCGGTGACATATTAGAAGAAAGCAATAAGATACTTTCAGTAATTAATATTTTTCTTTTCACTGATATTAAACATTATGATTTTTCTTAGTTCAGTTGTGTTAAAGTTTAGAATTGGTCATATTAGTAGTCTTGCTGCTAACTCTTCTAAAATACTCCCCACTTGAGGTTTTTTAGACGCTCAGTTTTACCTCATTTTAGGCTGCAATACAGAATATCCATATCATTTTTATGAATTCTTTTCCTTACCCTCTAGAATTTTTTTTTTTTCTGACGTTGGTAATAGTAAGGTCATAAGCAATCAGAGATTTGGGTTCAAATCTCCCTGTCCTTCTTCCCTTACCAGCACTTTGACCCGGACAAGTTATGTAATCATGCTGAACTTCATTATTTTCAAATGTAAAATGAAGATGATCATACCTATTTCAATATATTGTTATGAGGAATAATAACATTTAATGTTGGGCATGTAATACCCTCTAGAAAAATGAGTTTTCTTCCCCTTCCATTTCTTGGGATGAATTTCATTTTCTATACTTGCATAGTATACTTTCATAATCTTTTCATGGCCAAAGAGAATATTTTAGTACACTTGGTTTGAATAAAAGTATATCCTGATATAGCTTATTAAGTAAATTCATTTTGTAATGGGCCTATAAGATCTTAAAGCATTGCATACTAAATTACCAAGCCTGAAAGGTTAATCTTTTGTTAGGGGATACTTTAATTTGCTATTTTAAATAGTTGATGTTGACATATATTTGTCATATACTATGAATTACGTTTAAAGCCTATGAGAAAACTGTACAAGTTTGAGACACTTGGTTTGATTAACCGAAAAGTCTAAATAACTTTTAAAATCAGTGTAAAAGTCCGTTATCCTTTCATTGTCTCTATAGTTGTGGGACTAGAAATTTAAAAGTAAATCCCGATTGCCCTTAATAAATTCAGATTTCTGAATATCTCCATATTATCCATTTTTGGGGGGGAATGTAAGTTCAAGGATTCGTTTTTAATACATTAAAAACCAATAAGAATACATTGATATGCATAATTTGTCAAGCAGTTTTTAAAAACACAAGCATATAGTCTTTCTTTTAGGGCGATCTAAGGAAGAAAACTATAACTATTAAAGTAAAATTCTAGCCTAACCTCTCAGGTTTAAAGCCTGTAGAAGGAGGTAACAAATTTTGAATTTGAAGATGGCTTTGCATTTTTTGATGTAACTTATTTGAACTTTAAAGAAAAAATAATTTTTATTGGTCATATGTTAAACTTTGGCTTTAGAATGTTAAAGATGCTAGTGAAAAGGAAGATTGTAGATTTGAACATGAGTAATAAAGTAAATATTGCCTCTTTTGTTCATTTTAATTTTACATCCTAGCATAGATATCCATACTAGCAAAAATTTGAAAAGAGGGGAGATTTGAGCAGAATATTTGGTGAAAAGTCCTTAACTCGCATACGGATCACATAGAGAATTTCATTATTTTATTAATGTAAGTTAGAATAATTTCCTTACATAATTCTTAACTATTGTCATTTTGATTATAGGAAAGAAGCAACAGATTTTCATATAGATCATCAGTCAAGGCCCTTTTTAAAGTAGGTACTGAAATTGGGGGTCGTGGGATATAATGGAGGATATCGTGGAAAACGAAAGAGTTATAATTTTACAATTCAAAAATTTGTTACATGAGAATAATTTGTCAAAAAGTCCTTAGCAACATCTTGCAACTGCAGAGAGCATTTTTTCTAAGAATTGTTTTTTTCTCTCCTTTTATTAGTTGAAAATTCTCTTATCATTAAATGAACATATTAAACTTTAATCAGAAGCAAATAAAATGTTTAAATCATAAGGAGCATAGCTTTCTTTTTAGATTTCAGTAGATTAAAAATAGAGAGATAATTACATTTTATGTTGAATATCTATTTGTTGTGTTTTAAACTCTTATTTTAGCATTCTCAATGTATATAAAACATTGTTCAAAGAACCTTTGTATGTTAACTAAGTTGTTTGATATACGTTTTGTTCTTTGAAATATAGCAACAAATATGTTAGAAACAAACTATGTTCTAAATATTTGGGTTGCATTTAAAGTTAAGTGAATATTGTGCACCTCATATTGCTATTGACAAAGGAGGAATACTTACTTTTCTAATAAAGAAGGATTAGCCAAGCTGCTGCAATAGAAATGCTATTTGGTGTCCTGTACAGAATAGTGCCTTATTAAAGAAAATTTTTACATAAGAAAATCATTATGGTATAGATTATTTTAAACCAAGCATTATAAAAATGTTCTCAAACCTTGTGTAGAATAGGCATCTACAATTGTCTTGGAAATTATTCTTTGTTATAGCCTTTGTATGTGTTTATAGCATTACAGCTTCTAGTGTAATGTCTTATATGTCACTTGACCAACTCAATGCTTATTGACTGAAAATTCATTGTCATTCTTTGAATTCTAATAGATCTACCCAAAAACAATTAATTCTTACTGCAAATATATTACAATACATCACTCATCACTTTCTCTACTGCGATTTCATTTGACTGCAGTGGTAAACCACGTGAAAATAAAAAGATTCTTCTGTACCTTTCAGAGCAATGTAGAAAGCATAGATCAAAAATAGGCATTTTAAGTCAATGAAGTAGTCTTAGTTCAATGAAAGACTGATTTTTCTGCTAATAGTAATTGACAACACTAGTGATTTGTAGACACTCGGGCCACTGTAAGGCACTCAATTTATGAAAATTTTGTCTTGCCCATGTAAAATTCACTATGTCCAGTAGTTCTGAGATCATGATCATGAGTATGTGTTGAAATACTCAAATTGTAATATATCCTTGTTGTTAAGAGAGGTACCTAGGTTGATAGAAAAATGAAGCAAATCAATCTTTCACCTGTTTCACAGTGAGCTGATCCAGTTTATCACCAGTGGTCCTATAATTGCCATGGAGATTTTAAGAGATGATGCTATATGTGAATGGAAAAGACTTCTTGGACCTGCCAACTCTGGACTGGCACGTACAGATGCTCCTGGAAGCATTAGAGCCCTCTTTGGAACAGATGGCATAAGAAATGCAGCTCATGGCCCTGATTCTTTTGCTTGTGCTGCCAGAGTAAGGTGTTTTTAAACTACTTCAATTCTGTTTTGGTTTTGTTAAATGTTTGATGTCAGAGTAAAGCATTTTGTCACTGCTGACTTAGGGTGGATTTATACAGTGGTGTAGCAGTAGAGAAAACCTTTGACCTTTTGCCTAGGATTAACAGTGTTTCAGTGATACATCTCCTTTGAGAACTGGTAACCTGGTCATGGTCAGGATAAGTTTTCTCCAATTGAAATACTTATTGTCCCATTTTGTTCCAAAGACTTAAATTACTGAGGCTTATCAGTGTATGACTTATTCATCTAAGAACACCAGTTTATGGAAAGTGAATATTCAAAAAGAAGACATCATTTCATACATTCTTTCTTTGACTCAGACTTGACACCATATATTCAAGCTTAACATCCTTTTCTTTTCCTATATATAGCTAGTGTTTATGAAAACGTTTTCCTACTCCTTATTTTAAATCCGTATAAATAAGGTATTATTACACTGGGTTTATACTGATGTTGAATTAATGAAGTGCAAGTTAATTCTTAGCATTGTGAGAAGTTTCTTAGCTAATTTAAGATGGTTTTTAGTCTGGTCATATTTTTAATGGAATAATATTAGAGTTTTATGATACAGTTGACCCTTGAACAACGTGGGGGTTAGGGATTCCAAACCACTGTGCAGTCGAAAATCTGCCTGTAATTTATAGTACTCCCTCCGCAGCCACATTTCCTCCCTATCCAAGTTTCCTTGGCATCCAATCACAGATCATGTAGTACTGTAGTATTTACTGTTGAAAAAAATCTGCATATAAGTGGACCAGTGAACTGTTCAAACTTGTGTTGTTCAAGGGTCAACTGCTAGTTGATATATATATTTTTTCTTCTCCTTACAACTCTGTCAATAAATCCTTTTGGCCTTTCTTTCAAATTAGACCTTGAGTTTGATGACTGTGGTCTAAATCACTGTTATATTTTATCGACTATTGCAAAAAGCTTCCTAATTCTTCTTTACCTTCTTCTCTTACACTCAATTTATGAAAAATTTACCTTTCCCAAGTAAAATTAACTATGTCCAAGTGATCTTTTAAAAATAAATCAGATTAACAATTCAGCTATTAAACTCTAGTGAACTTTTGTCTCTTATAAAATCTAAGTATCATAGCATGCAAAGCTCTACCTGATCTGGTCCCTATCAACTTCTATAACATCATCTACAACCAGTCTCTCCCTTACTCACTCTGTCTCAGGTATTCTGACCGTCTTGCTAATTTTAGAACAGCATATTGCTGCCTGGCTTATTTAGTTAACAGCAAAGAATGAGCTGATGAGGTCACAAGTAATCAGGGAGATATCACATGGTTTGAAGACCACGATAGCACAAGACTTTTGTCGTCTTCTCTGAGGAAAGTGGAGAGCTGTTGCAGGGATTTGAACAGAGGACTGACAAGCTTGACTTGCCATTTAAAAAAGATTGCTCTGGCTGCTGCATTGAGAATAGACTGTAGAGGGCCAGAGTAGCAACAGGAGCCCAGTTAAGAGGATGTTGCAAATAATTCAGAGAGGTGATGGCTTGGACCAGGGTAGTAGCAATGAGTGGAGTGCTTAGATGTATTTAAAAATATAGTTTGGTGGTTGAAGGTCAAATGATCAAAATTTCCTTCCAGATTGAATGTAGAGTATGAGAAAAAGAGAGATGTCTAGGATTACTCCAAAGTTCTTGGACTGACCAACTGAAAGGATAACATTGACATAAACTGAAATAAGGAAGGCTATGGCTAGAGTCAGTATGGATGGAAAATAAGAGGTTACACTTTGGACACTGCAAACTTAACATGTATGTTAGTTATCCAAGTAGAGAGATTGAAGAAAAAACTGAATATGTGAGTTTGGGGGAGAGGTCAGGAAACCACGTGAAACTGGTTGAGATTACCAAGGAGAGTGTAGCTAGAGAAGGAAAGAGAACAGGGTTGGAACCTTTATGCCCTGGTAAAGGGTTAAAGAGGAGAAAGAAGTAAAGGAGGAGCCTTTAGTGAGGTAGAAGGAAAAAATTCAGAGGTAGTTGTGTCCTGGAGCCAAGTGAAGAAAATATTCTATGAGGAGAGAATGATCAGTAGTGTCAAATGAAGCAGATTATCAAGTAAGAAGGGGACTGGGAATTGAATATTAGATTTTGCAATGCAGAGGTCATTGGTAAACTTGGTAAGATCAATGTTGATGGAGAGTTGGAGGCAAAGCCCTGCTTGGAGTGGATTTAAAAGAAAATTGGAGGACAGGAATTCTAGACAGTGAATCTAGACAACTCTTTTGGGGCAGTTTTTGCTGCAGAGGTGAGCAGAGAAATGAGGTGGTAGCTATGAGGAAAAGCAGGGTCAAATTTTTTTTTAAGATGAGAATTACAGATGTGAAAAATTAATGATTGGGGAAAAGGGGGAAACTTACTGTAGCAATGTCATTGATTAGGTGAGAGGGAATGGAAATTAGAGACCAGATTGACTGCATAGTGGTGCGTAGGTACTTGTCTTTAGCAGCAAATGGGAAGGCAGAGTATGTGGGTTTTGATGCTGATACTTATTGCCTCAGTTTTCTCAATAGGAAAGTAGGAAGCAAGGTCAAAAACAGCTAAAAGTGAGGATGAGAGAGACGGTATTCGTTGGTTAAAAGAGAGAGGATGTGAAATAATCATCTGAAAGACTAGGCAAAGGAAAAGATTAGGGAAATATGGTATGATTGCTGTATTGAATGAATGGCTCACCTGAAGTTCATGGTCATGAACTGTGAGTGTGGATGTTCTCCAGCCATGTTCAGTTGCATGAGTGTAGGTGCAGAGTAGGTGAAGGGTTGCTTTAGCCATGGCTGTGGTTTTGTGAAGCAAGTATGATAGGAGGGTTGTGGTTGTCAAAGGTATATGCAAGAGTGATTATAGTCCCTGACCTTTGATCTTATTTATAGACATTTACTATAAATGTAGTATTATTTTCAATTGTTAAATGCCAATCAGATATTGTAAGATATTATAAAAATGATGACATAAATAATTAATGAAGGAAATTATTGGGGGCTGAACTGAAAAGTCATTGTTACATTCCTCCTATTTACCCCATGAGCATCTCACCCCATCCCTTTCTCTGTTCTTGATTTTCACCAGTTCATTTAATAAATTTGAGCACAAATGTACCCGTCAAATTTTAGATAACTTAGGCTCTGTATATATTTATACATTAGACGATTCCACCAAGGAGTTCCATGAGGGCAGGGTTTTTTTTTTCTGTTTTGTTTTGATTATTAGAATCTGCCTGCTACATAATAAATGCTCAGTAAATACTTATCAGGAGAATTCATTCATCCAGTAAATTGGTCATTAAGCTCCCTAGCTACTTCCTGTTAGTAAAAAATATTTTTTCAAAGTCTTTTTTTTTTTTAAGAAAAACCTTTGATATAATATAAATAAAATGGGAAAACTGTCAGCATATCACTTTGGTATTTTTCTCGAGATGCTTTACCTTACAGATGTTCTTTGCCTTTTACTATACCATGAACCTTGACTCTTAAGTCCAGCTATACCGTATCTTTATCGGATAGCGATATAGGTTGTACATTTATTTCAGTAATACGTTGATGCTGAAAATAAGTGGATTTAGAAACGCAAGGGAAGTTTTATACATTAACATGGTAAAGCTAGACTCATCTTAAGTATATATATTTGTGTGTTTTGATGCATGCACGTACGTAATGCATGTGCTAAGCTTGGTAGAAAAATTCCTACCTGCAGATACAGTTTGCAGAATGACCTTTCCCCCCGTTTTTTTTGTAGTGGAGAACCTTCTACAACTTTAGCTACCATAATCCTTCCTTCAAAGAAGTGTCTTAAGCATATTTGTTTCTGTTTTGTGCACTTAAGTTTTCTCAGCTATTTCTGACGTTCATCTCAGAAATACCCCATTATTTGTATGAACCCGTTAGGTTATACATATTCTTGATGTTTGTCTTGGGAAGAGTGAGTATTGTGGACATTATGTTAGCTGACTAGCTATCAAGGAGAAATACTGCAGCTGGAACATGTAGCATACATGAGGAAGCAAGGACCATAGATATTGACAAAAGATTGAAAAACACTATATAAGCAGTCCCAAATCACCTCTTTTTGACCTTGAATTCCTGTCAGTTACTGTGTAATCTTTTTTCCTTCTTTCCCAGATTTCACCAAAGCCTAGACTATACTCACTGTTTGCAGTTGCCTTTGACTACATTGAGAGCAGTCATTACAATTTGGCTTCATCCTTTCATTCCACTGAAATCATTTTGGCTAAGATAACCTATGTCCTCTTAATTAAAAAATCCAAGAAAAAAATTATCATTTCTTATTTTACTGTATCTACTGTGTTTTACTGCAACATTTAACAGGTTTGCACACTTTCTCCTTTTTGAAATATTCCACAATATTTTAATTCTGTGATATCTCACTATCCTTTTTTGCTTTATATTTAGCAGATCACAATCTATGTCTTTTTTTTTATTTTTATTTTACATCTTTATTGGAATATAATTGCTTTACAATGGTATGTTAGTTTCTGCTTTATAACAAAGTGAATCAGTTATACATATATATATATATATATATTCCCATATCTCTTCCCGCTTGCATCTCCCTCCCTCCCACCCTCCCTATCCCACCCCTCTAGGTGGTCACAAAGCACCGAGCTGATCTCCCTGTGCTACGCTGCTGCTTCCAACTAGCTATCTGTTTTACATTTGGTAGTGTATATATGTCCATGCCACTCTCTCACTTTGTCACAGCTTACCCTTCCCCCTCCCCATATCCTCAAGTCCATTCTCTAGTAGGTCTGTGTCTTTATTGCTCTCTTACGCCTAGGTTCTTCATGACATTTATTTTTCTTAAATTCCGTATATATGTGTTAGCATATGGTATTTGTCTTTCTCTTTCTGACTTACTTCGCTCTGTATGACAGACTCTATGTCCATCCACCTCATTACAAATAGCTCAATTTCGTTTCTTTTTAT